ACCTGTGGACCTAGTGGCCCTATGGGGTTGAGTTAGGAAAGCACTTGCCCTGAAGATTCCTCCTCTCCCTTGGAGACAACATTCTTCTTTGATTGTTTGTAAAGAAGCTCACAAGATGCACTTGGCAAATGCAAACTCCCAAAAGCCAGTTGCAGAAGTAACTGGACTGAAGTGCAAAATAGCAACAGATGTTTCAAATTGCTTTCTCGCCTTGAACAAAACCACAGGCAAGTCATTAAAACAGGTTGGATTAGTCTCCATTACAAAGGGAAGGGTGGTTTCCATCGGGCCAAACTGAATGGATGATCCTTGGCTGTGCCAAGAGCTGAGTTCTGTAACGGAAAGAGCCGTGGTGTGAAAAGCAGGTATATCCCTCACTTGTTCTGCCAAAACTTTGGTTCCTCAGGAAGCGTACAGTTTCTGGTACTTGATTGTTCCTCACTAGCCAACTTTACCTATTGCACTTATCTTGGTTTTATCTGGAATAAAAGTTGAAAATCATAGGTGTAGCAGAGAAAGCACAGGCTACACAGCCAGTCGCACGTAGGTTCTGATCTCAGCTCTGTGGCTTATTGGCAGGATGTCCTTGGGCATCTTCCTGAATGTCTCTTCACCTAGTTTCCTTCCCTGTTGAAGGATGATGTTATGCCACCTCCCAAGGGTGAGTGTGAGGATTAGAATCAATGTGTGCAAAGTACCTGGGATGCAAAGGATTCTCGATATGGAGTAGCTGTTATGATTATGCACAAGCCTGTCTTGCTACATGTATGGGCAGGTTTGCCTGGGACTAAGGAGTTTCCAGGGACATGGGATATTGGTGCTAAAACTAGGAATCTCAGGAAAACTAGATGATTGGTCACTTCAATATCAGGAAACCACTGCGATGAATTCCACATGCTTCTGCTTTCAAAATGCTTGTGATTTAGTGCGGAGATGGCAGATGCAAGGAATTCCAGCTCCCATGCTCTGGTCCTTTGCAGTGGCAGGCACTGCTAAGAGTTCACATCTTTCTTCCCTGAGTGAACTGCTGCCTCAGAAGTTTCCCAGGCAAGGTCCCAAGATGCCACTCAGCGTCAGAGCTGGCCAGGGAAACAAAACTTATCTGGTCCTTTATAGTGCCTAGGTTTCCCCAAATCCCTCCTTTCTACAAAATGAAAGTTCTCGTTTTTGTGACATGGACTTCAGCTAGGCCCCAGAAGCCTATTCTATTAAAACATTTCATACTCATTCATGAATTTTTGAGAATCTCTATTAAGGCAATTAAAAGCAAGAGAATGACTTATTATTATTGGATTGACCTAAAGCTAGCATCAAAGAAAAGGACTCAACATACAGCATGCTGGCTCCAGAAGACATCCAAGGAAGAACTTTGTCGTGAACAAGTTTGCTTAACTCAGGCATAGATATTTTCAGGAGGTTCTTTGGAGGCTATTGGAAAATAAGAAATGTTTTCTTTGCCTAGGATAGTAAAGTCCTGGAGTGAATAAGGACTGAGAACAAATAGGGCTGGGTGGAGCCTTTGAGATTGCTTCACCAATTCCCTTAATTTAGTTTCCAGTACTTTGTCCAGCTCAGTGGCTTCAAGTTTGGAAAACATCTTTATATAAACACTGATGAGGTGGGTGCATTAAGTTTTGTTCAAAACCCAAACTCTTCAATACTCCCAATGATCAAAGACACCGTCTTAACTCTTCCGTTTTTTTCCATTTCCAAATATTAATGGAGTGTGAATGTTTTTCTTAATGGATACCTTGTATAATGCTTAAGTCAGGGCTTTTGGTGTGTGCCAGTCACCAGAATAGTGTTCATTGCACCCAATAGGTAAGTCTTTATCCCACACCCTCCCTCTGACTCCCCGCTTCTTGGTTTCCAATGACCTTTACATCTCCTTGTGCCTGTGTGTGCCTGTCGTTTAGCTCCCACTTATTAGTGAGAACATATGGTGTTTGGTTTTCCATTCTTGAGGTATTTTACTTAGAATAATGGTCCTCTCAGTTCCATCCAAGTTGCATCCCATGGAGTTCTACTCAGTCCTAAAAAGGAATGAAATAATATCATTTGCATCTTGACTCTTCTGATGGATTAAAGGAGATGAGACCAGAGAGGAGCTCTAGAGAAGCAGCCAGACACTCACCTGTGCATGAGTGTATCAATGTGTTGTTTGCCCTCCCTCCCGCCCCCCGCTCCCCCTCAGGAAGACTTTCCTGACAGTACTCAATCACAGCATTTGCCTTTTCTTCAGGGATTTCCTGTGGCTTCACAGAGAAAGCACAGGCTTTAGAGTCATGCCCTGATTCAGACTTAACCTTGCTATTTTCTATCTGTGTGACCTTGGGCAAGTTATTCAACCTCTCTGAGCTTCATATACAAAACACATGCCCATATTGCAGTGAAGATTAAATGAGATGCAAAGCACTACACGGTAAGTGCACAATAAAGGCGTGATTCATACCTTTAAACACCTAGAGTTTAAAGCATATTCTCTATGCTTTGTCAGCATGTTGAGTATATTCAGGCTTATGTACTTGGCTGGCATTTATACATGTGTCCTTTATCCCAAGTCAACTGTAAACAGCTTGAGGATGGGGACCAGGTACATGCTGAACATGGTGCTGGGCACATGACAAATACCCGGTAAATGAATTTTGACCTAACAGATTCTTACCAACCTTCAACAAGCTTATTAATGATTATGAAATTTTAATAGGATGTAGAAACGGGAACAGACCAGTCATAAGTAAATGGGTTCATTCATTATGGTGTATTTCATTAGTAGACCATTATATGAAAACTAAAATCATGTTTTTAAAGAATACTTAATGAGGTGGCACATGGTATATTATTTAATGAAAGGGGCAGACTGTGTAATTGTCTACTCTGCATATGACAATGTTGTCATGTATGAGATAAGAGAAGACTGTCGGGACATGTATCAGAATATTAGCAATGATTATATCAGAATAGTGGAATTACATTTTTATTGTTGTTGTTCCTGTTTGTTCAAATGATCTACAGTGAGATTGTATTACTTTACAATCAGAAAAAAAAAAGCCTAGTATTATAATTTTTTCTTATAGAAGATGGAGAGGATATTTCACTATAAAATGAATTACCTAAGGATGCTGGAAGTCCTGCTTCAGGGAAATTGATCTGGATGGCCTCGTTCCCGCAGCACCGAACCCCGTGGTGCACCAGTGTGGGTTGTGTTATCCTATTGCATTAAATGTTCACCTCTAGGTTAAAGAGAAATGGAAAAAGAAAGAATTTCCTGCAGGGACTGGGCCACTTATTTATAAATCCCTTGTCAGATGCCTTGGAGATTTGAAGGTCCTAAAGGGGCCTCCTTGCTCGCTCTAATACCAGGTAAGCGGAGTGTCTTGTCCTCTGGGGCATACCCTTCCAAGTGAGTGGCAGAAGGGTGGATGTCAGGATGCCTCTCCCAGGCTGGAGAACACCCACCTGCAGACTGTGCACCTGACAGTCTAATAAAGTGGTTCAGAGTCAAGGTGGCATGTTGCCATTTGTGAGCTCTGTGACTTTGAGCAAACTGTTTACCTGCTGTGAGTCTCACTGGCAAAATGGGGGATATTAACTTCACCCTGCTGGCAGAGACTAAATGTTTATGTCCCCTGCCAAATTCATCTGTCGGAATACTAACTCACAGGTGATGGTATCAGGAGGCGGGGCCTTTGGGAAGTGACTAGGTCACTGGAGTGGAGTCCTCATAAATAGGATTAGTGCCTTTATGAAATAAAAGGGACTCTTGAGAGCTCTGTCCTCCTTTTTGCCCCATGAGGATACAAGAGAAGTCAGTAGATTGCAGGAAGAAGGCCCTCACCAGAACCTGACTGTGCTGTCACCCTGATCTCAATTTTCCGGCCTCCAGACCTGTGAGAATAAATTTCTGTTGCTTATAAGTTACCTGGTCTATGGCATTTTGTTGTAGCAGCCCAAACTGACTGAGACACCCACCAGGATACTGTAAAGATTCAATGCCACCATGCTTGCCAACCTCTTAACCCACAGAGGATAAATCATTATCGTGACTCCTATTAGACCAGTGTGATTTCCTGAAAGGGTCCCAGGCTCTGCCCCTGAGAAACCATGTTCAAAACTCACTTCACCACTTACTACCTGCGTGACAAAGGGTGTCACTTCACCTGCCTGAATCTCAGTCTCCACTTCCATGGAGTTATTGTAAGGATTAATTGAAATAACGTCTGTGAGCCTTAAGTAGAGTTCTCTAGTGCAGAGGAAGCACTCGGTGAGCAGAAACTACTGCTTTCCATTTGACCACAAGCTCCAGGAGCACCATCCAGCCCGTCCACCCTTCCCATTGCGTATCCTCAGCTGACACAGTGCTCAGCACAGACAGGGCACTCCTGTGTCTGCTCAAGAGACTGCAGCGAACGAGGAAAGAAACCATACTTTATAAAAGATGGCATAATGTTGCAGGACAGTTCTCCGATGGTCTTGGACCAACCCACTTCTCCCCTTTCTCACTTGTAGTTCTCAAGAGTAACTGTGGCGTGGGCTGGGAATGAAATATCCTGAGATAAGAGGTGACTGGCTGATACAGCCTGAGCTGTGTCCCCACCCCCACCCCCAGAAACAGGATGCCCTTCACTGCTTTAGCCCAGCGTGTCACATGACTCCAGGGATTAAAACCCAGGGCAGGCTGCTTCCCAGGGTCCCTTAGCTGCAGTGCAAGTAGGGTACACCCAGTGACTTCAGGAAATGAGCTGCCCAGGCTTCTGTTTTCCCTTGCTGCTTATCTGTAATAAGTAATAAACCCACTTAATGTAACTCATGCATGGGAATATGCTCTGTCTCACCAGACTCAGACAGGTTGGTAACCAGTGCACAGTGAACCTGCTTCACACAGGTTTTATGATTCTACCCCATCTGGAGTCTGGACCGTAAATCTAAGCTCAATACTTCTCATGATTGTGGGCAGCCTGCTATACACGTACTCCAACAAATAAGCCAGATTCACTTGCTTTGGTCATTAACACAATTTATTATTGGCACACTTAATCAGTAAAGCATACATAAAATACAGCTGTTTTTAACACACGGAGCCACTGTGTCTTTACATGTGTGGAGGAACATATTAATATGCAGATGGAAAAATTAGTTCTCTTATAAAGTTTCACAGAAATACACTGGAGTTGCCCAAAAAAGAAAAGTCCCCCTAAGAGAACCAGGTGAGGGCTTTACAAAATATCGTACAAGAAATATACTATGAAAAGAAAGGATGGCCAACTCAGATACAATTAAAAACACAAAAAAGTTTCAGATTTATTCAACTGCCCACAAAATTAATGGATTACATGGCTTGAAAATATTTGGATCAACAGCAACTTTACAAATGCATAAATTCTCAAGAGTCCAACTGTCTTTCTTTACATACACATCTGCCCTGGCGTCTTTGATGATGAAAAGACGTTTCTTGTTTCAGTACGAGGGCTAAATTGAGCCAACTCATACGCAAGCCAATTGCCAACAGCTCCACCACAAATTACCTTGCTGGGTCCCCTCAGCTGTTGCCCAATGAAAGAAATAACGTGAAGAAAAAAAATAAAGGTACATTTAAATTACTTTCCAAAGCTGATTTTTTTCCTTTTCTTTTTTTACTGAAACAAGAAACTCTCAGATGCAAGTCAAAAAGCAGAAAATATTTTACAATATTAAAAAGTCATTCGTAGCTAGGTTCGGCATATTAATGAGATCCTGAGCACTGAGTATTTACGGACAATATGGCCTTTGTTTGATGCATAAAAAGGAAATTCAACACAAACACGTTGTTAAGACTGTGTCAGGAGATGCTCTAGCGTTTTCTCTCGTTTTAATTACGATCAGTGCCAGTATCTGTACAACCTGTGGAGGCTTCCACAGAAGGGTCATGGAAGCTTATTTGGAATAATCCTCTCAATTAGAAAAAAAAGAAAAAAAGAAAGAAAATCAGATCATTGTGGTTTAGAAATAGATATTTTCATGGAAAAGTTTTTATTTCTCCTCTTTTTCTCTCCTGTAAGTAAAGATCTGCAATTGTAATGGTGACCCCCTACTGATCAGGTGCGGGTGGTCTTATTGGGAAGTCTGGGGTGGGAGGTTTTCTGATTTGGTCTCTTGAGTGGCGGGAGGTTTACTGTTCCACGGGCTGTTGTTCCCCAGGGCGGGTGAATTGTTGAAGTCCTCCTCGTCGTCCATGCCGTTGGCCGCATCATATTGCGTGTTTTCTAATCTAGTGATTAGCCTTTCGTCCTCGTCCCCAAACTCACCTCCCATCAGAGTTGGCTCTCCTACCACCATCACATCCTGTGAACAGCAGCTGACATTATTACAGGGAAACCTTGGGAGAGAGAAGCTCAGCTTAAAACAACAGTGGGAGGAGCTGGGGAACCTAGGACAGACACACGCGTGTACTGTACAACGGGGTCAAGTCTCAATGTCGGGGGCCGAGATGCATATTTGATTTCTACAGGAAATAAACATCGCCTCCTGACGTGTAACAACCACGCGAGTTTATGTCCTTAGTGCGCAGCCTGACACCGGAGAACGAGCAATGCTAGCAATCTGCAGAAATAAAAAAATGGATTTTTCAAAATTAAAAAAATCCACGCTTTCAACTTGCCAACATTGGGGACTTTTGAGAGGGCAGTGGAACCTTCAGCTGTGTGCTTTTCAATACCTCCAAAAATCCACCACTTTTATTTAGGGCCTGTGAGTGGCTTTGGACACTAGCAGCGACCAGAGACACAGTAAGGTGCGATTCTGCAATATTCGCAAGACTCATTCCAAATGGTATTTTCTCTGTCCCAAGGATGGTCTACATTCTAATTGAAGACAGAATCTCTCTTTCTCTACTCAGCCAGGCCCTTTTATGCAGCCAATATCCTTGACATTCTGCTACTTAATTATGGTAATTAATTTAGGTAAAGTTTTCCGATAAAAACAATGTTCACACTGATTTGACAATTTGCATAGCTAATTAAGTCATTAGCAAAAACCTGCTGATTGCCAACAAGCCCTGAATTTACCATCTGTTATTTCATGGTGCCTGTCACCTATCCCCACACTGGCAACCCTGCCACCCATCTGGGCAGTAAAGAGAACCAGTCTGTCCAGCTGGTGCCATAAAAGGAAGATGAAGAGCACTAATTATAATTACATTGATGAAGCTGGTAGTCACCAGAGATGGGAGTGTGTGAGAAGAATCCATCTAATCACTCCTTTAAGTACAAATTGTCCTTCCATGCAAACGAGTAAGCCACCTACTATACCTTGGGACACCAGGGAGGACACAGCTGGACAGGCAAAGGCACGGGGAGAAAGATGCGGGCACAGGGCACAGCTCCAGGCTCTCTGTTCAGAGGGGACCATGGCAGGTTGAGGGGTGACCTCAACATGGGACAGGACACCTGTCAGATGGATCTTTTTGGGCAGGCTCTGAGCGGTACTCTACTTAAAAGTGCAGTAACGTCAGGAAATCGACCAACTGCTATCAGCCCCCGCTGAAGCCAGAGAAGGCAGGGCTGGCCTGATGCTTTGGGAGAGGAGAGGATGGGGTTTGGCTCCTGGGAGGGAGGCTAATCTAATCAAACACTTTGACAACTGGACAAAAATTCTTTCCACTGAGGCTTTGCCCAGAGGAGGCTTTCCTGGGGCAGCTTAATAGAACACTGCCTATGGTCAGGAGACGGGCCAGTGGGGTGTACAAATCCCTTCCAGAATTTCAAAGGTGCCCATTAAACAAATCCCTTAATTACTGCCTGGTGTATTTTGGAATGGAAAACCTTGCTTTGTTTATTTATTTATTTATGCCCTCCCCCCACCCCTTTGAGTTAGGGGAGACAGTCAATAGTTTTCCAAGCTATGTTTTCTGACTAATCACTCATGTGAATGGATAAAAATGATTTTAAAGAGAAATGTCCCAGATGGAGTAAATGCCTAAAATGTGAACTTGGTAAACCCAGCAATAGAGGTGCTGGCGGATATTCAGATGTGCGCTTCCAAGAGTGTATTTATTATGCAAAGAAGAACCAGAAATGACAGTGACATGGAAGGAGACTCATGAGGACTTCTAAGGTGAGATGCAAAATAGACACAGTCCTTCTGACAGGCAAGAACGACGACAGGGTTTTAGATGGAATGTGGCCACTGCAGAGACACGAATGTTATTCCGTTAGCCAGGCAGCTGCCATATGACCCATTGCGGGTGTTCAGGATGAAAAAAAAGGCCACTTAGCTACAGGCAATTAGGAGACTGCACTTATGATTAGGAACAAAGGTAGGTGGAAAGAATAGGGCAAGATTGGCCAGAGCATGACATGAGGGTTAATCTCATTTCATGATGTGTGTACAGCACACTTTGAAGGGCTTGGAAAACACATGCGTAAGGTGTCACGGGGCAGGAGAAAGATGCTAGGACCAACCACGTGGGTCTGCGTTAGTCTTGTGACGCCAAGGTCATTGACAGAGGATGGGACAGTATGAGGAGGAGAAAAATAAGAAGCAGCCAACTTAAGCATGATATTAGAAAGAAAGTTCCCAACACTCCAGATGCATTCATTGTATTAGAAAAAGTACCATGAAAACAGTGGTTTGCATCACTTCAAATGTAGCTAATATGTTTGGGGAATCTTTGTTCTAGGAACAGCTGGAAAGGATGCCCAAGCATAGGCATAGGTGTCTTTAAGCAGCCTAAATTTCAGAGGGATGCCACATTTGCTTTACTGATTATAAAAATATCCTTAGCCAATATATAATTTTATGTGTGTGTGTGTGTGTGTGTGTGCACTTGTGGGTGTGATTGATAGATGGCAAGCTAAGGGCTTCATATGCACATAGACACTTGAGGCCACTTACAAAATTATGCACACATTTCTCTTGGTTCTTCTAAACCTCTAGGCTAGGATAGTGATTCTCTGGCTGTCTTGATTGGTTATTGTCACACAAAATAAATGGAGACACAATGCACATTCTGGGATGCCTCTAAGTAGGGGGTGTTAGCAGCATTTCCCCCACCCCCACATCTTTAAAAATCCCCCCAACATTGTCAGTGAGAGTGCGTTTCCTTCCCATCTCTATCCTGTGTGTCCCATGGGAGGCAACAGTGATCCACCCAAGGGTGACCCATGTGCCCTCGTCTCCCCACAAGGCCAACTTCTGCTCCTTGGCTGGAAGCCTGGAGGTGCCACCAGCTCTTGCCCATTTCACATCTTCTCACTAATCCCCCGTGCAAGGACCACCAACCTCTGAGGAGGACTGGAAGTGACTCCTTTCAGGGCCCCTCAATGCTTCTCCTTAAATTGGCCAGAAGGGGTCACTGCTGTTGAATGACACAGGTCTCCATCCCTCCCAGGGTTGAGGCTGCAGTTCGGGATCGCTCCTAGCCCCTGCTCATGGAGTGAGAAGCAGAATCCAAGGATTAAACCCTAGTCCTCGCCAGACACACACATCTCTGCCACAGCAGCTACATAGACCACGGATGTGGTTGCATTGGCACATGCCTTTGGACCAGGCAGGGGGGATGCCTGCAGACAGTATTTCTATTTAGCCATAGGATACTGTTGATAATTCAGTAGACAGGGTTAAAAGATGTGGTCCCCACAAGCATCCAAGGCTTATAATTTTACATCCATTCAACTCGAGGACACATAGGAATTTGTATATTGTCCTAACCTGGTTGTCGTCCCTACCTCTCTTGGCCATCTGAAAGGTTTGCTGAATTAAAACATCTTTAACTACATAGAGTGGAGATAATGCTGAAACTCAATTTTCCCTTTCTAAGGGTGCCTTGCTTATGCAAAGTCCAAAGGGTCTCATCTCATTAAAAACTCTCTGGACACAGGTATCCTCTACTAAAAAGCAGTTGCTGGTTTGGAGGACAGGAGCATAATGGAGTAGGAAAAAACTATGTGCTCTTTAAAACTGAAATGATTCTGACCAGACCAGGTGTGTCAAAATAAACAACATACAGGCTATTACTCTCAACTTCTACACCTGTGGCAGACATCACTAATGGATGGCCCATCAAACCCAATCTATGCCCTAGAATCCTCCTTGATACCGTGCTCTGTGAGCTGGCAGGAGAGAGCAAAACACTTTGCCATCCCTAGATTAGACAGTGAGCTCTTTAATGACATGGCCCAGGTCTTTTTTTTTTTTTTTAATCTTGATACTTCTAGTACCTACTATAGTGTAGGGCACATATTAGGAGCTCAGAAAATATTTGTTGAACTTGTCTGTATTCTTGCAGCTACTGTGCCTTTACATAGCTATGTCACAATTCCAGAATTCTTTGAAACGCACTTTCCTCGTTTGTTAGAGGAAACTAACAAATTTTAGTGTCTTGAACTCCAGAATTGGATGGATAAATGGGCGACTTGTGTACACCTTTTAAGTTGGTTTATTTACATCAGGACATTTTCTCTATGCATTTTCCAGTTTCACCAGGAATGGGCATAACTTGGTACCTTAATAAAGAGACTCAGTTTTTCTTCTTTAATTTTACCCCTTCACCTTTAGGGGTGACAGGTATAAAGCCTAGTTCAGAAAATAGAAGACTATCTAGGGACTATTTTCGTTATTTGAGGACCACAATACCTAATGGCCTTAAGGTTAAAATGACAACTTCCACAGCAGGCTGGCCAGTCTCTCCACGACCCCTTTTTTCCAATGCAATGGAATGGAAATGTCCCTGCCTATGGGAATGGGAGACGGGAATCCCAATGGCCCAGGGAATTCTCAGGGTACTGATGGGGCTGGTTTGGGCCCAAAAGGTCTGACCCATGGAAAGTGGATACAAGTGAGTGAGGGCAGATTGGAAAGGCACATTTGGAAGTAAGTGGGAATTGCTGTGTATAGATCAACTCCTACCTGGAAGCGATAGAACAGGACCAGAACAAGAAGGGTGAGGATGACAGACCAAGAGGGGAAAAAAGTGAGAAAGACCAAAAATGTAAAATTGTACTGGTTGAGGGATGTAATGAGAAATAGGGAAACTTCTGGAAATACAGTATCTAGAGGGTGTCCATGAAGTGCCAAGGAAATGTTAGGATTCAAATGACAGTCAAACACCTGGTGACAAGGTGAGGTGACAAGGACAGCAGAGAAGGAACAGCGGAGGTTTAAAGGAACATGGGAATTTAAAGGTGATAGTCAAACATGGTGCCAGGGAGTCAAGGGGACAGGAAGGGGTTCAGCAGAAGGGGCAGACTTGGAGAAGAATTAATAGGAAATGAAGAAGGTTCCCGCAGGGTTTTCACTATTTGGGGACTACCCTCAGCTGTCAACCGTGGAATACAAACAGGCCTCTTGCAAGAGGCCTTTGTCAAGACTCAGAAATGAAAGAAAAGGGTTAATGGATCAAAAGAGCTGAGATCAAATCAGGGGCTGCTCCTCCCCTGAGCTAATGAGATGGGTAAAGCAAGAGCTCCATGGAGCTGTGTTTTTAGTGGCTACAAGTTAATTACCTGAGTTTTAAAATAAGAGGGGATGCCCATGGTGGGAAGACCCAGTCAAATTACAATATGGAGACTGAGAGCCAGGAGCTAGTTTCCAGGGGAGCACAGGGTCTCCGATGATGGTGCCGAGAGGGCCACCAGGCACACTGCTAAGTGATATTTTAATTAAACCTTAAGTGACATATCTCCTGTCTGTGACTCTGACGGCTTTTTAATTCAGGTCCCATTGCAGCACAACTCTTAATATTCCCTTCTAATTCCCAGTTTGCAGGGGAGGATTTCCAAGGCAGAGATTTCCCTCCCATCCCAACCTTTGTTCCTGCCTTTCATCCCTCCCCCATCTCCAACCTGCCCCAATTTTTTTTTTTTTTTTTTTGCAGCCAAAAGAGAGTTTAATTTGGGTCCCCTGAGTAGGAAGCAGGCAAAAGGCAGGGTTTCAGGCCTAAAAGGAAAGCGAGACTTACAGGTACCTGACTGGACAGACTCAGGTTTGCAGCTGTGGTCTTCTTCTTGCTGCCGGTACTGTTTGCGTTGTTGCCAGCGCTGCTGTTGGATGTGCTGCTGGTGGAATTTTTTCTTTTTCTCCGTTTGGTTGTCGGTTGCCTTGTGGGTTCTGCTGCAATACAGAACAGGGAAGGACGGGGAAACACCTTAATGGAAATATAGGGACCCCTGGTAATGTGTCGTGAGAGGGATCAAGAGCATCAGGGCAAGAGCATCAGGGCGATCATCAGAATACTGTCCCTCCAATGGAACCGAGTTTTGTAAATTGAAGAGGAGACTATTTAAAATTTTTCCATTTCTTATAACTTTACAAAAAATAAAAAGAGAAAGTTATTGATTTATTTTTGGCACAAAATGTGTGAAACTCGTTTCTTTGTAGATAAAATAATTTTTATTTAATTGTTTTTTCTAATTATGTGTTTAATTTTTAAAATATATTTTAGAGGTGAACTACAAGTACCATTTTCATAATTGAATTTAAAATATTATTACCATTAGAAAATTTGGGATGATTTTTTTTTCCCCCTGAACTACCTTCTCTTTGTAACAAAGGGGGAACTTCTGGGATCCCTAGGGTACCTCCAAGGTATGAGACAAGTGTAGACAGCTGAATTAGTGAACCAGTGTGCAACAGCAGCACCTACTGGCTAAATGTCATATTGCAGCCTACCTCTATTAGACCTTCATAGTATTGTCAAGTAAAATGTCAGTTCTATCAGCCGTGGATGTGGAGCTTAGGGATTTTCAGGTTCAGCAGCAACACCCACGGTTTGGACACTGGTGTTTAATGAATGCTAATAATGTCAAAATTGCTGGAAAAAAATGTCTTAGTATGGTATAGCCAGCATATTACTGAAGGGAAGATAGACCTCTTTAAGAAAGGTCTATTCAGAAACAGAGAAAAATATTTTGGACCTGGAAGATGGAGCAATATATTAATGGAAATACAGGGGCCCATGTGTGGTAAGAGGAATATACTTTCTGTCTCTGTTTTTTTATGTATTATGTATAGAGCACTATGTCATGGAGGCACTATTCTTAATGTTTCCTATGTATTAACTCTTTTATATTCATAACAATCCTATTATTTAGGTATCATTATTATAATCTTTGTTTTGTAAATAAGAAAGCTTCAGAAGCCTTCTCCCAGAAGTTACTGAATAATTTGGAAATGGTGAGTAGGAGAATCTTTTCTGTTAACCCTATTTTAGACCCAACTCTGATGGAAAGCAGGTAAGCTAGGCAGGGCTATACTGGTACTAAGTAAGAGGGCCTTGTACCATTTTCTTAAAATACCTGTGCTGCTTCTGATGGACAAGGGGGGGGATCCTCCTTCAAGGCTCATTTCAAAGACCACTTAGTCCACTATGTTATCCCTGACTTTGGATGAGGAAGATGGGAATTGTGTTCCTATTTATCTACCATTTTTTTCTTTAATAAATATTTTGTCACTTATGCTCAAAGATTTTCATCAAAGAATCTATCATCTCCTTCCATAGAATTATGAGTGCTTATTCTGAGGATGACAGAAGCAGGAAATAGAATTGTTCTAGTTCATGGAGTTGGAAGAAAACTTAAGCAGGACCTTCTAAAGTCAAGCAGATACCCAGATCTACTACGGACAAGCATCTTCTTCCTTTGACCTTAAGAATGTAAATCTGCTATCTTTTTTTTTTTGTACCTGTGCTTTGTTCATAAAATTTGGGGTAAATGTACCTAAAATGCATACTCTGGATTACTCCCATTGGCGCCATATGGTTGTGGTAGTAAAATCATGGACTTTGGAAGCATAAAAAAAATTTCCTGACATGGTCCTCCTTCATTTGTTAGCTATGGGAGGGACTGTGGCAAGTTACTACTTTAAGTATCAGGCCTCAGTATATAAAATGGGGATAACAATAAATATCTCACAAAGTTCTTGTGCAGATTCAATATTTTTGACAGTTTCATTCAGTGTTATACCCCCAGTGGCTTGAGCCGTGCTTGGCACCTAGCAAAATCTCAATAAATAATTGTCAAAGGAATGAATGAATAATATATGAATTATAGTATATATTGGAAAATATAGGTGATCAAAGCATTTGTAAGTGAATGCAGTGTTTTTTTCCATAGTCTTATTACTACTGAAAGAGAAAATAAAGCCAATTTAAGCACATTTAATACATTTGAAAAATCATATTCTGAAAGTCTAAAATTCCCTTAAGATGGGGATGCAACTATTCTATATAAAATAACATTTATTTTCTCAGCTTACTCTATGTCCTTTGTTAAATCTGCTACATTCATTTTATATAAAACCCCTGGTCAATTACCAGATGAAGGTGACCATTATATTTTGTGATTCAGAAAGCTATGTGCCTCATGTTAATAATTACTCTTTATAAAAATAATCTTTAGCAAATGGATACATTTTGCTTTTATGATCAATGAGCCTCGATACACGCCTTGGAGCTAAAATGTATTAGATAGAAAGACAATTAATGATGACTTGAAGCAGTAATTTCAGAACCCCAGCAGGAGACTACAGTATCCAAACTGCATTCTAGGGAAGTGACGGAAATGGAATCTTTTATGTATTCTGCTCATGATCAGAGTACCTTTTGATATAATGTATCTTAAAAGATAGAGCACTCTGTATCCTTTCTTCCTTCCTTTTTTCCTTCCATTTTTTCTTTCTTCACCCCTCTTTTCTTCCTCCCCCTCCTTTCTTCATTCCTTTCCATAATTTCTATTATTCTTAAAATCCAAAAACATTAGGCCATGAGAAGCCAGCAGTCTGGTTCAATGGAAGAACCACTGGATTGGGAGATGAGAAACCCTGGCTCTAATCTTGACTTTATAATGACCTTCTTGATGACCTTGAACAAATCATTTTACTTCTCTGGGTTTCAGGCAAGTGAAGGGACTATAGATAATTCTTAAAGATGTTTGCCCATCATGATTTCTATGTCTTTAGGTCTAAAATCAAGGATTGGAATATCTCTAATAAAGTACTTTTTCTGGTAAATTTATGATCACCTCCTTGCTTTTCACATCACTTCAACCCCAGAACAAGCCTCTGAAAATGCATTTAGAAAGAGAGTGAAGAACGAGAGTGTACCTGGCGGCGCCACCATCCTCTGCCACTTCTGAAACAAGCAGGTTTTCAGGCAGTCTCGGGGACTGAGGTTGTAAGTTTTGTGTCTCGACATCAGTTCCTGCATTGGCTCCAGTATTACACACAACTGCAAGGAGTTCAAAGGCATTGGTGTTTTGCTACTTGGTAATATCAATTACAATAAATAATGTTAACAGCTGGAATCAATTAGATAGCTTAAGGATATTTTTCTTTTTTTTCCCTCCTTTTGATTTTCCTTGTAGAAGTGTGAGGGAAAGAAGTATTACCAACTTCACATCACCAACCAATGATTATACTCAATTTAGTATCATTTATAATGTGATATTACAGCTCAATGTGATTCTTACACACACTCACACACAAACACACACACTTTCTATACCGACGATGGGGTCGATACATGTAGCTCTCTACTGAATTCGAATGACTCTCTCTGGTTAAAGAAAAAAGCTCTGTTCCTTCGGCATGCCCTAATTTCTATCTGGTTTCTGGCTGTTATTCTTGCTTGTGTAATACACTGTCAGTTATAATGCTAGTTTATGCAGATTACCTGGCAGTGAGACCCATATTTTAAACTTTGGATAACAGAGTGGTAACTACAGATACTTTTGATCCTAATTCTTAGAAAGGCAGATGATGAAGGCTATTTTATATTTATTTTTACACTCATTTGTATTCTACACATGATGACACTGTAAATAACGTGTTAACATTCACTCAGTGTAGCAGGCTTTGCTGTGTTTCTGAACACAGTCACCTTGTTCCCTCGTTCATTAGCTTTTTCAGCCTTGCTTTGGTCTAAGACACCTGATGACAAAGATTAAATGACTGAAGCAAGAAGGTAGAACCATTTAGGATTGCCTTGGATTTTTCTGAATTCCTTCTCAGTTGGAAGCTCATCAGAATACCACTGCATTGAGAGTGCTGTATCTAAGAGGACAGAGACAACAATTTGGAATGACACATTAATCGCTGTTGAAATTACAGTGGTACAAACATTGGCAATTCACCTTCCCATGGGACAAAGCATCACTTTGTTATGAAAGACAGATGTGCAGTCTTCAGCTTCCCCGGCTGACATTCCTGATGACTCTCTTCCCTTATGCTGTCCCTCACCTCGAGCACGTCCCTAGAGGCCACACTGCTTTTTGATCACTGAGCTCCCTGTCCCTGGAATTCTCCCTCCCCTCTTCCTGGTAAATGCCCACTCATCCTCGAAGACATAGTTAAGTCTTCAACTAAGCCTTCTTCCCAGATGTGCAGGCTGAGTGGGTGCCTCTCTTCAGTTCTCCAGAGAACTCACCCCTTTCTACCCATTCATGCTTTGTGTGCTTCCAAGTCTGCCTTTGCCACCAGGCCATGACTCTTCTGATGCCGAGACTATGCCTTTTATCTCTGTGTTCCCAGGTTTGGCTCAAATGCAAAGAAAACTAGAGGAGCTTTCTTTGCTGCTGTTTCTCAAAATGTGGTCTAAGGAACACTTCCATCAGAACCAAATGAGCTGACTATTAAAAATGCAGACTTCCAGGCCCTGCCCCTTCTGTTTCACTGGGTCTGGAGGTGGGGCCTCGAATCTGCATTTTTAAAATCTGTACCCCTGTTAGGGCTCAGAAAATGATACCCCAAAGTGAAGAGGTTTGTCTCTGACTTTCTCCTGCCCTTCTGTCTCTTGCTCCTCATTCTCCCCCAAGATTAGTAGAAACTAGAATCTCTCTTCCCCAAGGTAGGTCATAGAAACCAGTACCCTTCTCCCTCAAAGCCAGCCATAAAACCTAAAAATATTACTCTAACCTTCTCCTGCCTTTCTGCATGAGAGCTGGCTATAAAGAAATTCTCTGATTTACCTTGTTTGATAGTAGGTCATAAGATCCTCATTCCAGAAGGGGTCCTGCCCCATACCCAGGAGGAAGGAAGGCTGCACAGAGAGGCCAAGAAGAATCTGAACAGATAGACCTTGCTGGGTTTCCCCACTCAGTCTGTTTGCATCAGATCCTACCCTTCTTGTCCAATAAAGTTTTACACAACTGCCCATTCCTCATGGAACTGAAACATAAAAATGGGTGGCTTTCCCTGTATCTTTGGGTTTTCGTTCTAGTCTTCGTGTTATGTAAAACTTTGATTAAATAAATATGGCATACTTTTCTCTTGTTAACCTGTCTTTTGTTATAGGAGTGACCCTTATGATAGATGAGGAAAGATATCAAACTTTTCCATCCCTATACTGCTATGCAATTTTGATAAACACTACTAGAGTTTGAGGTCCACTGCCCTACATATTCTGGGCTTTAGAATAGATAATGGAGACAGCAAGACATGCATAAATCCTCAGTGGTCTCCAGCTCTAAATCCATTCTCTTCTCACTTCCTCCCACTTTCTCATGCTCTCTTCCCTCCTTCTCAATTCTAAGCATGATTATCAAGATTTACCTTCACCTAGAAAGATTCTTCAGTTCTTTTTACCTATCCTTGACCGTAATTTGCTAAAACCACTAACTCCATTTAAAGGCCAACTGTAATTTTCTTGCTTCTGAAGTTTCTCTAGAAGACAACAAGATTTCGAAGCCTGAACAATACAGGTAATATGTGCACCACAGAGAAAAAGCCAATCAACCCCAGTAAATCAGACTGTAAGGTAATGAGACTTGGATTAGTTATGATGGAGTTTCAATCTTGTGCATCTTCTTACACCTTCGTGCTTGCCTTGGAGTCCTTTTCAAAATCTAAAATGCCAATAAGAAAAAACCTGTGAAAGAGGCAAGATTACTATACAAGGAACTCCATATTCCAACATGGTGAAGCGTGTATGCCTCTGTTAAGAATTTCTTGCTGGAAATCAAAGTTTGTGTAACTTACAGACTATGTCACTACCTCCCCAAGCCACTGATGCTCACAAGACCAGATGGAGTGAAAGAGTTCACAATCATCTGTACGGGTAGATTTAAGAGTGATTATCCCTCGAAGAAGAACAACTGCTAGATTCAGACGGCATCGGAAAAAGGTGTTTCCATCTGTTATTAAGCAAGGATATTAAGAAAAGCTTTCATAGACATTCTAAGGATTGGGAAAAATTTTTAATAATAAAAATACTATACATTTTCAAACTATTTCCATTTGGTTCATTTCCCATTCATTGTAAATGAACTTACAATGGATATATTAATAATATGCAAGGGTGGAGTGGAGCAAGCATGAGCCTACAAGCTAAGATGTCTAGGATTTTGATTCTGTCACCAGGTGTGTATCCTTGGATGAGCTACTTAATAATGCTGGGTCTCAGTTTTACCTGCAAAACAATACCTATCTTGTGTGTTGCTACGAGAATTTGAGACAATGCATCTAAGGCATGAATGTAACAATCTGTAGATATCATGATTATACATCAGCAAGCATAGAATGGATTGCAAAACAAACCACATTTCTATTACTTTAAATCAACAAGCACTTACGGAGCTTCCTCCAAAGTGTCAGGCATTCTGCTTAGGTGCTGAGGACACAAAAATAAGACTAAAACAATCTCTGCCCTGAAAGAATATTCTGCTCCCTTCCAAATGCTTTAAGCATATTAAAAAACCTACCCTGTGTTTAAAGTTCTGGTGTCTCAGGAAATCCTTCTGAAGCAAGTATTTCACATTACATGACAAGGTGGCACAGACGACCTATTCGGACCTGGAAAGGACTGTCGGCATTGTACATGCTACGAAATGGGAGAGTTACATTTATTGTGAGAACCCGTGAGCTCATAATCTCTTTCTTTTTCACAATGCCTTTCCTCTCTTTGGATTGTGGGCAACACTTTTCTTCAGGTGCTAATCCTCAAAATTTATCTCTTTCCCTTTAATGTAAAAATATCTTCCCATCACTGTAACCCACCCCAAAGGAGCTTGCATCTCTGAATGCTAATAAGAATCCCCAAAGCCATTTTTCTTCCAGTGGAGAGTTCCCAGGCTGGAAAGGCAGCCCACCCCTTATTCCTGTATGCAAATGAGGCTTCCTCTCTGCTGCTGGGAGGCGGTGGCGTTGCTGGGCTGTGTGCTGTAGGTGGCAGAACTAACTCAGATAAGAGCCTGTGTTCCCCCGGCAGCAGGCCAGCGCATCTTGGCAACAGCAAAGGCCTGGGGCATTGTGAAATGAAATCAGGAAACAGGCTGGCGGAGTGGGTTCCAGCAGTAGCTGCCAAATCCTTTTGGAGCCCTGATTCCTTCTCTCCCTGAGGTCTCAGACCCTCTTGAGAATCTGGTGAAGGCTATGCAGCCTGTCTTGCAAATTTTGTACAAAATTTCTGGCGGTTGATGAATCTTCTACAGCCCCATCCATTGACTCCAGGTAGCATCCTCTGTTTATTATAAGTATAAACCAGGCTACAAGATATATGCCTTTTCCCATCCTGCACATGCACACTCACACACACACACACACACACACACACGCACACACCACCCAAATGTACGTTAATGCAACTGAGCACAATAACACAGGGTCCTCTCATGTTGAAGAAAAATTTTATCTGCGAAGTGGAACCTGCTACAAAGCTCCCACTGGACTAGTCCCTTTGCCTGAAAACAAAGGCTACAGCCAACATGTCTGCAACATCTGCAACATCTGCAGCACTCTGTCTGCAGGGTTGTAATTTGGTTTGGTCTCTTGCTGTGGTGATGTTGGAGTGAAGGATACCATGAGGAATCCCAGGACGCTGTAGAAGGAGCAAAGACCAGCAAGGCCCAAGATCTCTCCTTGAAAATGAAGACCTTAAACATGTGGTCCCTGCCAAGTCCAGTTAGAATCCCAAAGAAAGCCATTGTTCATTCTGGCAAAGCTCCAAGCATACCCTTTTGCAGATTTAGTGAGTGTTTTAGACTAGGCTTACTCCCCAGTGCTTCTGACCTCCTTTTCTGGGACTCTGGCCCCAACAGTGACCCTTTGATATGAAATTTTGTAATCATAAGAGGGACTTGCTAAATGAGTGGATGGATGGATGGAAAATAGATAGCTTGGCCAGATTTATAGCAAGGAGTCATTTGTTAATGGGAGACAAATCAGGCATGGTCCTGTGGGCTCAGAAGTGATGAATTTGTTCATTTGGTAAATAACTGATTGTCTCCTCTGTGCGGAATGCTTTGCACAACTACACATGTATGTCCTGGCCAGACAGCAAGATCTTAGCTCAGTCCCAGGATTCATAGTAACAGAAGCCTAACAAGTTTAGACAGTGCAATATTTTGTTTTTGGTTTGCTTTTCACCTGACAATTCTCCTGGAGAAATTTGATTCTCTTCAGCTACACACTCATACTCATTCTTCTGGTACATCTCATTGTCTGAACCTCAGGACCAGGCGGTGCTTGTCAGAGTTGGCCTTGAACTACAAAAAAGCATTTGGTTATCTCCCAATCTAGGCTCTGTCTACCATCACCACTTTAATTCTATCCTTCTTGAATGACATCTTCTAACCTTGAAACTCCTCCTCTTTGTACATGGGTCTGTTTAGCATTAACACGTTGCTCAGGCCTTTGCTCGTATTGTTTCTCTTGTCTATAAGCCCTTCTCTCGTCTTTTCCAGTCATCTTAACTAGGACTTGGCAAACGACCACCTGCGGATTAAGCCTGTAGATATATTGTCTATAGCTGCTTTTGTCCCATGACAAAGTTGAGTGGTTGGACAGCGTCCATACAGCCCACAAACCCCAAAATACTTATTATCTTGCCCTTCACAGAAAGCTTCTTGACCCTTAATCTAAACCAGGGCTATTCTAAGGAAGGGCTGCAAATAAGCTAAAGTATCACAAGAATGGAAAAACAAACACCACGTGTTCTCACCATCACACTGGAACTAATCGATCAATACTTATGTGCACATATGGAAATAACATTCATTGGAAATCAAGCAGGTGGGAAGGGGGAGGAGGAGATGGCCAAATTCACACCTAATGAGTACAATGCACACTATCTGGGTGATGGGCACATTTATAACTTTGACTCAAATGGTACAAAAGCAATTTATGTGACCAAAACATTTGTACCTCCTAATATTCTGAAATTAAAAAAAAACTCAAAACCAAAAAAAACCAAAAATGACTTGTTATGCCTCCATGACAGGATAATGGGCTTGATGCAGAGCATAATTCAATTCACTGCCTCCTTCATTGAGAAAGTTAAAAAAAAAAAAGTCAGAGATGAACTACACAATATGCCCTGTGACATAGTTGATTCACATTCCAGATCCTTATCTTATTATGAACGAGTATGAGTTCACAGTCTTCCAACTGCAACCCACACTTGAGTGACACCAACCTGAACCATTAAGGTCCTCCAAGGTCCAATTCAAATCTCACTTCTGTCTCTGACCATCCTGGCCTGCAAGGGACTCTTTTGCTTCTATTGAACTAATCACTGATCTTTAAACATCCCAGTGTTTATATTTGCATTGGGAATTTTCCTTTCTTGTGGACTCCTTCATCTCTTATCTATGGCAAACCGTGTTTTACTTTTCTTTTTATTTAACACAGAATTAGGTATACTCAAATATTTGTTGAGTCATAACTTAATAATAGCTATGGAGTGCCTAGTCTATGTCTGTCCCTGGAGTATGCATCTTACATATATTATGTCATTAACCCTCACCACCTCACCTCTACTTTTACAGGTGGGAAAATTCATACCCAAAGCCATTAAGTCACCCAAAATTGACATTAAAGAGTGTGATTTTTCCAACGTGTCCAAGGTAATACAGCTATTTGAAGGGAAGAAAAGAAGTTCAGTCATGTTTGTCTGACTCCAACCTTGCCCTATTAACTCCTAACTGCTATGTTGTCTACCTCTCTAAATATGAGTGGCTTAAATGGCTTCTAAGATACTAAGTTCAAAGGCTTTCACTGTGTTTGGTATTGCTCTTTGTATGTGGTATTGATCTTAGCTCGAGGCAGGTGATGCTTGAGGCGTGCAAGCTTTGGAACCAGATTCATCTGGGTTCAAACCTCCAAGTCTGCCCTTCACTAGCTGCGTGTTCTTGGCAAAGAATTTCAGCCTCTCTGAATCTCGGTTGCCTCATCTGTCAACATGGGGATAATGATACTTATCTTTGATGGTTTGAAACAAACTGAGTAAGCCCTTCATACAAAAGCCTGGAACAAGATCAGCACTCAAAAGATGGACACTGTTATGATGAAGAATGCCCAGCCCCACTGAGCCAGGAGGTCAATGACCGATGTATGATGAGATTGGTAAACTATTTTGTGAAGCAAGTCACGTGGTCTCCCCAAGACTTAGGGTCAGTAGACAAAATGCTCCTAGGGATGGAAATCACGTCAATTGGACAAGGCATTTTAGTGGCTAATGTCTCCGATAATAACCCCTTTTTAGGATTCAGGGATAAATACCAAATGTCGAAATCCACAAACCAGAGTTATGTTTATGCCCACCTCTGCCCCAGTAATTTACTCCTCTGGCTACATCTGAGTTAGAAAGATATCAGAGGGTAGGGGGTGATTAAGAGACAAACTCTTATCTACGAGTGAAGGAATCTCTCCTAATTAAGAACACATAATGAAAAGATAATACATGGAATCTAAAAGAAAAACAAAGCAAAAAAAGCAAATAATCCCCACTCAGAAGCAGATAAGAATGAGTAACAGGCGTGCACATGACCAAACCCACTCTGCCTTAGAAAGGAAAAACAAGAGAGAGAAGGAAATACTTTCCCTTAGAAGCTATGCAATTCCAAAACATCAGATTATGATTTGAGTTTATTTCCTGATAGGATTAAAGGTAGATTGGTTGTCAAATTCAAAACATCCTCCTTTTTATCTGAAGATGCAACCAGGGGAGGCTTTGCCTTTTCTCAATTGTTTTGCAAATGGATCACTCAGGAAAGTTATCGCATCCAACCCTGGGGACTGGGGTCCCCTCTGTGCTCAGGGAGAGGAGGGTGGGGGTGGTGGAACAGACTTCCTCTTGCAGCAGCTGCCACTGGGTCTGGCAGGGACCTCGTTCTTCCAGAGTGAGCAGGGGATGCATTTCAACATCTATTCCTTGGTCTCACTTTTGAGGCTGCCAGGAAGGGTGTCAATCCGTGATCACTGAGGCCACTGACTGCTTTGCTAACCCACCTGAGGAGAAATGCCAGGTCTATCTACCTGCGCTACAGCAGGCCCATCAGTCTAGCTAAGCTCCCAATTTCTGCTGCACCCATCAGGCCCCCGCGAAGACCATTCAATGCCTCTGCTACCTTCTCTTTCCTTCCGATTCCAGGGCCACAATTTCTCTGCAGTATCTTTTGGCACCACTATCCCCTTGCACAGTGCTCTGACCGTTTGCCTATTTGCTCCTTCCAGCTCTGTATGGCAGGAGACAGACCCCTGCAAGTGATTTCCCAGCTATCTTTGCCAACTGGCTCCAGGTGACGTTTGGGCCAGTTGGAGGCACCAGGGGCGATTGGTAAGAAGTGGATTGTATTAGTTTCCTAGGCCTGCTGTACCCAAGTACCACAGATGAGTGGCTTAAAAACAACAGAAATGTATTCTCTTGGTTCTGGTGGCTGCAAGTCTGAAATCCAGGTGTGGGCAGGCCGCTACTCCCTCTGAACGCTCCAGTGAGGAATCTCCCCTTGTCTCTTCCCAGCTGCTAGGGGCTCCAGAAGTCTGTGGCATTCCTTGGCTTGCAGCTGCATCACTCCAGTCTCCCGCCACCATCTTCATGTGACCTTTCCCCCTATGTGTCCTGTGTCTTCTCCTCCTCCTGTAAGGATATCAGTCATCGGATTTAGGGTTTACCCTAAATCCAGAATGATTTTATGTTGAAATCCTTAACTAATTACACCTGCAAAGATCCTAATTCCAAATAAGGCCACTGTCTAAGTTTCGGGTGAACATGATTTTTTGAGAGACACTATTCAGCCTACTATATGGTTAAAGAAATAAAGAGGGGTATTTCTTGACCTCTCTGCAGTTCAGGTGGTTTGTTCAGTGCTGTCGCCAGACAAATCCACTGTGGTTCCAAATTCTACCAGGTGGCCTGACGGTAACACCTCCTGCCTTTGTTCCTCCAGCCCCGGGAGTGGCAATTACCAATCTTAGTGCTGCCTCATCCTCCTCTAGTGGTTTGTCCAGCTCCAACATCTTTATGAATAATTTGCCATATTAAATTTTCTCTATTAAATTACCTGGTGTGGGTTTTGTTTTCCTGGGTGGACTCTGATTGACACACACGGTTTGTAAGAAATGAGGGGGTATGTAAAAGATGAAGGACTTTGGGTGTGTGTGGGCCTCGTGTGCAGTGGTGGAGCACACAGATTCAGCTTGGGCTCCCATTCCAGTTACTTAATGATGGGGGTGACCCTGGGCAAGTTACTTGACCTCTTGGTGTTTCAGTGTCCTCATCAGCTAAGTGGGAGAACAATAGTACCTGACTAATTGGGTCATTAGGAGAAAAAAGGAAATCTATTGAAAGTACTTACCTAGGTGGGTCCCAGCATATGAAAAGTGCTCTACACATGTTTATTATAATTGAGGTATAACCAAGCTGGGGAGCAGGGGTTCCATGGAAGACATTTTAAAACGTGTCAAGACATGCATACCTGTTAAAATTGTATAGATGTTCTCTGCCCTAAGTGTATACTCATGTGTGCATGCATGTGTGTGTGTGTGTGTGTGTGTGTGTGTACATATATATGCTGTTGGCCCTCCTTAATCTGTGGGTTCTACGTCCATGGATTGAACCAACTGCAGGTCAAAAATATTTTTTAAAAAATGGATGTTTGCATTTGCACTGAACATGTATATAATTTTTTCTTGTTATTATTTCCTAACTAATGCAGTATAACAACTATTTACATAGTATTTACATTGACCTGTAAATTACAGGTCAATTACAGTATTAGATATTATAAGTAATGTAGAGAAAATTTAAAGTATATGGGAAGATGTGCAAAGGTTATATGCAAATACTACACCATTTTATATAAGGGACTTGAACATCGTGGATATTGGTGTCTGCGGAGTGTTCTGGAACCAATGCCCCACGGATACCGAGGGATAAGCAAGGGATACATATACACGCATACACCTACACCACCTGGAAATCAGATCTGATGATACAATGGATATCTAACCTGTTTGGTCCTTATGCCTATCCTAATACATAACTTGTTCTGACCATTGGGCTATCGCCTCAAATACTCCATCTATGGGTTCTGCCAACATTTCTAAGTTTTAGGGCTTAGTAACTAGATGTTTCTAAAGGAAAGAGAAAACATCTACCTGGAAATACCCCACAATCATTAACGAACATCTAGAG